AAGACTAATAGAGATAACGGGGAGCGGGAAAACAGGGAACAGGACTGAACCAAGTGCACAAAGACAGGGGGAACACAGACAGACATCACAACATAGCCCCCCCTCTATGGGCGGCTCCCGACGCCCAACAAAACAGGACACAAGACAATTCGGGAGGGCGGTGGAGTGGAGGCGGTCCCGGGGGAGGGACGGAGGGCCAGGTCCGCGCAGGGAACGGGACCAGGGCCTTGCAATGACGGGCATGGGCTATGGAACGTGGGCTGACCTGGGCCATGGAACGTGGGCGGAGCTGGACGTGCAGGCGGCCAGGGCGGAGCAGGCTGTGGGCGTGTCCATGACAAAGCAGGCCGTGGGCGTGTCCACGACGGAGCAGGCCGAGGGCGTGACCAGGGCGGAGCAGGCTGTGGATCCTCGGGCGGCCACGGCGGTGAAGACCCCTCGGGCGGCCACGGCGGTGAAGACCCCTCGGGCGGCCACGGCGGTGAAGACCCCTCGGGCGGCCACGGCGGTGAAGACCCCTCGGGCGGCCACGGCGGTGAAGACCCCTCGGGCGGCCACGGCGGAGAAGACCCTTCGGGCAGCCATGGCGGTGCGGCCTTCACAGTCCCATCCAGGGTCCTACTGCCCCCCCCCCAAATTTTCTTAGGGGCAGCCATGGGGTCATCAGCAGGAACAGACACCGGCGCAGGATCAGCGGGCTCTGGCGCAGGATCAGCGGGCTCTGGCGCAGGATCAGCGGGCTCTGGCGCAGGATCAGCGGGCTCTGGCGCAGGATCAGCGGACACCGGCTCAAGTGTGTGCGTAGCCCACACACACCACATGGCTGTGGCCATAATGGCCAGTGTTGCGGTCACTGAGGGCTCAGGCGGCGCATGTGTGGCGTGATCGGTTTCTGGCTGGGCAGACGTGACGTGATCGGTCTCTGGCTGGGCAGACGTGACGTGAACGGTCTCTGGCTGGGCAGACGTGACGTGAACGGTCTCTGGCTGGGCAGACGTGACGTGGACGGTCTCTGGCTGAGCAGACGTGACGTGGACGGTCTCTGGCTGGACGGTCTCTGGCTGGACGGTCTCTGGCTGGACGGTCTCTGGCTGGACGGTCTCTGGCTGGACGGTCTCTGGCTGGACGGTGAGCTGGCAGGGTGCTTCATCAGCCAAGCCCACAGTAAATGCCGAACCGCTCAGCAAAAGGGCCAGGTCGACATACTGCTCAATAGACCCGTTTGGGTCATGCAGTGGCATCAGGTAGCTGAGCGGCTCAGAAAGACCTCCACGAAAAAATATCTTTAGGCACAAATCATCCATACCAGACAGGTGAGCCAGCTCCAAAAAGTCCCTCACATAGTCCTCAATCGGTCGGTCTCCTTGGCGGAGACATATCAGTTGTGCTGCTGGATTCATTTTTGGTGAGTTCTTCTGTTATGAAGGTGGTTGAAGCAAGGGAGGAAGCAGGATCCAATTGCAGCACACTTTATTCAATAAACTCAAACTACATAAAGACTCAGGCTAGGGCACAAGACTCAGGAACAGAACCACCAACATCAAGGTTACAACAACAAGAACTCACAAGGACTGGACTGAAACACAGGGCTTAAATACAAGGGCAAACGATCTAAACAGGATAACAAGGGGGCGTGGTTAACGGGAAACACCTGGGAAGACTAATAGAGATAACGGGGAGCGGGAAAACAGGGAACAGGACTGAACCAAGTGCACAAAGACAGGGGGAACACAGACAGACATCACAACAAGTCTTAGTCTTTTGACTAAAATGCCATTTACAGGGTTCCTGCACACTTTTGAAAGTCAAATTTAAGGCTTTTTAAGACCTTTTTAAGACCTGAAGAAATCAAAATTAATACCGTACATTAGGGCTGTGCAGTATTGACAAAAATATATCTTGATATTTTCAACGTTTTGTTGATAATAATTAGATGATATTTTACTGATTGTGTTTTTGTGCTGGTGCCATGGCTGGTTTAGGTCTATTGTTGACAGCTGACTCACGAAGATATTCATATTTTTCATATTCTATGCTGTGGTCAGTTCACAGCAGTGACAGAAATTAATATTTTAATTAAGGGGCAATATTTGCCACCTTAAATTGATTTTTTCAGGGGCATTTTCACCTATATATGGACATTTTTTCTAAACTTATTTAGAGTTATGCATCACCTTTAATGTCAAATACTATCATTCAAATTAAATTATACAGTAATTATACAATAATACTTAATTATATAATAATCATACAGTACCACTGTTACAGTCAAATTAAATCATTCAATCAAAATCCATCTTTGCAGTGCAGAGGTGACAGAAGCGGCATCAGAAGTGGCATTAATTTATTTACACTCCATTTACAACTGCATAAATAAAGCTATGAGATATATATTTTTAAATCAATATTCAATATTTAAATATGAAATGATTTCTAATTTTAACATTTTATTTAAAGGGTACTTTAAATATGAAACCGCAGCGGCAAATCACTGTCTTAATAAGTGAGTCATTCATTCAACCGATTCGTTCAAACGGCTGATTCATTCGGGAAAGAAGCAAGTGATTCGTTCAAAACGCGGATTTCAGTCAAGAAATAATCGCTGTCGGTTGCATTGAGACTCTGCTACGGTTTCATTTTGAAATTAAAGTCGGCGAAATAAAGGGAAAACAAACAATATTGACAATATTGTGTCTAAAAAGTAACTCAATGTTAACTTATTGTTAATTTAACTGTTGTATAACATAAATATCACACTTGGAATCGTGCACGGGAAAACGGCACTCTTTCTGATGTGATATTCTAATATAAGAACATAATATGATATAAATATAAGACAAAAACTAACTTGGGGACATAACAGTTACACTGCACACATCACGCAGTGAAAGCACGAGAGACAAATGCGATGTCAGCTCGCAGTGCCTCGTACATTGTTAAAACAATGATTGCAATATCATAAAAGACAATACACATCGCACACCATACGCACATAAAGAATGAACTTACAACTGAACTGACATTTACGACCTTTCTTCTCCTTCTCTCCTCTCGCGTGCAGGAGACAGTTATGCTGCCGCGACTCGCGAGTGACGCGAAATGTCACGTGAACTAGCAAATCCACAAAGATAGAATAATAAATCAATAAAAATACGTACGCTAATTAGATGGTTTTAATTTGGAAAGCTTTTAGATATGTCTAAGTCAAAGTGTCATCTAAAATTTAAGACCTTTCATAAGTAAAAATAAGACTTTATAAGACTTTTTATGGCCTTAAATTTTAAAAATCTAATTTAAGACTTTTTAAGACTTTTTAAGGATCCGCGGGAACCCTGCATTTAGTTTTAGTCATATTTTAGTCATCTGAATTGTTTTAGTTTTAGTCTAGTTTTAGTCGACGAAATACAATAACATTTTAGTCGACTAAATCTACAGTAGATTTAGTCGACTAAAATATAATGGGTTTAGTTCAATTGTAATGCGTTAATTTAGAATTTCTCTAAAATTTCCAAACCCATATACTCTCGGAGAAAACATCTATTAACCTATTAATATGAATGATTTTTAAGTTTGAACATGCAATACAGATACAGATTTAACTGCTGTTACTTAAAAAATATCTTAAAATGAAATAAAACCACTTTTCCTAAAGTACAACACAGTCTTCTTTACAATGAATGATATATTCATTCCTTATAACTACTTACACATCATTCTTTATTCTTTCAAGCAGACATATTTATTTGTATGAATTAAATATAATTAATCCTTATTAAAGCTATTAACAAACAGTGAATGCTTTTCTCTTTTTCTTTTGTTGCTTGATCAAAATTAAGGACACGGACCGCATTAGGTTTATTGCCACTGTCACTTTAAGACGTCGGATCATGTCCAATGACATGCGGATACAATTGCACTGATGCACATCCGACACACTCACAGTTTAAGACATAACCAGCATAGTTTACATGAATACTCTCCAAAAAGGACATTTAGACATACTGTTGTGTATTTCTCCATTCAGACACGAAAGAGAGCTCAATTCAGTAGCCTACTCGCGCGCTGTAGGTGTATTGTGCATGACTGCACGCTTCGGGTTAGGTGTGTGCGCACAGAAAACCGCACCGAATAGAGCTCTTTTTTGCATCGTCACTCTTATTCAGAGATCTATATGTCTGCCCTACTCATTCTCCCAGACGTTCACATTTTTTAACGTTTTATGACCGCGGGGTAGATCACGTTACAGTAGCCTACAAATGTGCGCATCTACCACACACGCAGGACATCAGTTCTGACGGATCGCTTCCCAAATCGTCACTATCTAACATTTTCGTCTAGTTTTTATTAGTTGACGAAAATGTCAATAGATTTTCGTCATAGTCTTTGTCATTCAAAACTAGGTTTTATTTAGTTATCGTCTCGTTTTCGTCTGTGAAAAAATGTCGTTGACGAATAATTTTCGTCGTTATTTTCGTCAACGAAATTAACACTGATATCAGGACCATTTTATGATTAATTGAAATACATTTCTTACATACAGGTCCTTTAAGTGAAGCATCGGCTTGAGCGTTACCCAGCTTGAAAAGTGGAGCTCAAAGTTAAAAATAATTAACATCTTGTTTCATTACATCTATCTTTTAATGAATCAGCGTTTTTTAACGTGTTCGTTGGATGAACGGTTTAATGACTCACTCAAATGAGTTGGCGTAACAGTGTAACTGCATAACTGATATCTGACGCGAAACCTATACGAGTAGCGCAAGGGCTTTTCAGGGCATTCATACATTACTATTTTAATATTCATGAGAATATTCATACATCGCCCACACATCGCACCAGAACCGGTTTCGGAACCGAAACTTAGGAATTTCGCACGGTTCCGGTATTTTTCAAAAACACCAACGGTTCTGGATAAGAACCGATTCTCGGTTTCAATATTGTGATTATCGCGACCGCCCTAACTCCATACAGCTCAATGTTTTAAGTGAATGTAACCGTACCTCTCGGGAAACGGCCCGTTTGGGCTCAACGACGCGACCGTCCACTTTGTGTGGCCGAGCTGCCATTGCAGCGTCAACCTCCACGCCACAGGAGTACGTCACGAAGCCGAAGCCTCGCGAGCGCTTGTTTGCTGGATCTCTCATTACCTGAGGAAAGATAAAAGCAATGATAATATCATCAATAACAGTGGTTTTGTTGCTGTTATTATTAGTGGTATTTCTATAGACCCTTTTTGCGCCGACATCACAATTACGTGACGGCGTTCGCTGGAGGCAAAACAAAGGGACAACTGGAGGCGGCCGATACAAACCAGCACAGATTCGGCTACATAAGGACATTCGGCTCAAAATGTCATCTTGGCCGAGTACAGGCTCCAATTTGAAATTTTATCGCATAATGTTTTCTAAACTATTGTGATTAATTGTGAATCATTTATGATTGTTTGCATAAAAAAAAAAGCTGTATGGAAATGCCAAGATGCACATAAACTAATAAAAATTAAAAAAATGTGCATGCAAAAAACTGAATTGAGGCAGATCTTCTTTTTTTTCTGATAAGAAGATATAGGCATAAACTGAGATGGAAAATGCATTTGCAGAACAAATCCATTGATGTGCAAAAAAAAAAAAAAAAAGAATCATGTGACTGCCTCAACAGATCATGTGATCAGAAAAATGGTGGAGAAAGAGAGAGAGGTATTTTTGGATGGACGATGAGGTCTGAACATTTTTAAACCTCATTTTTGAAAAAGAAGAGTCTTCAACGCTTGATGGAAAACAAGTCATTTATGATGGAGGATAAAAGAGCCACAGTGGTTTTGCTCGATTGTAGCAACTTCCATTTTTATTACAGATATTTTGCGCCAATTTTGCGCTATGTTTCCTTTGGATGGAAACATAGCTAGTGATAGTATGAAGTATTATGGTAATTCAGTGAATAATAACTATATTCATATACCATGGCATGATACTCCAAGATGCTTCGGAGCTGAACCTGGGACTTTTTTTTCCCCTTTCATTTTATGTAATTGAAAAAATTGGGATTGCATCTGCTGCAGACACATTTCAAAGTGAATGCAATTAGTCCCTAAAGCGAAACTGAAAAGCATGTGATCTGACGGCCACTCACCACGCAGTCTGTGAGTTTGCCCCATTGCTCAAAGTGAGCTCGTAAACTGTCCTCTGTGGTCTCGAAACTCAGTCCACCAATAAACAGCTTCCTGAGCTGCTCCGGCTCCTTACTGATTCGACCCTGTTCACATAAAACACAGTTACATATCACACTTGTTATCTTCAACCTTTGCCTTTTTACAAATATGCGTCATTAGACAGATACAACTGGCCCTTAATGCTCTAAAGTTATTAAGTTAATTGTTTAAAAAGCTGATAATACATGTGTTCACTGAATGTGTGGGTGTTTCTGATGGTGAATATCAAGAGGATGGACTGCATCAGGCCATACTTTTGCCATGTTGCGTGAAGGCTTATTTAATATTCATTAGATTGAGTGACGTCAGCCCAACAATCCCTCCTAATTGGCTGAAAGAGTGAAGTTGAAAGGTGGGCTCTTGTCAGTTAGCCAATGAACTTATTTTACTAAGGCTTGATCATGAATATTAATTAGAGCACGTGATTGGACGCTCCAAAAGATTACCTCGTAACCTTGTTAATATTATTCATAAGCTCACCCTACGCCATAGTAAGATTCGTATTTCGGCCGGTGGCAGAAGGTTTCAATGGCATTACATCTAAAGGAATAGAGTGGCTATGTGTGTACACGAAGATCAAAGATTACACGCGCATTCTTCCGAGATAAAGACTAAATTCAGGAGGAGACGGTTGGAAATAAACCGGAGGCTGAGGAGCGTCTAGAACATTCCTTGCCAACGAGTTCACGCGCCATTTTAGATTTCTTTTTCGTGTTTCCTCCATATTGTTAGAGATAATATTAAAATTAAACATTAAATTCTTGTATCTGTATTTCATACGGTCATGTTAGCAAAATAACAGGCTCAATATTCCGTTAACGTTAAGTTAGTCGAACCCCCCCCCCTAACCAAAACATTAGCAGTACGTTAAAAATTGAACCACGAGTTCATGCCTGGCACGGGTTTGGTGTTTAAGATAGTAACTGTAACACCAAGAGTCTCGTGTTTCGTTTGAAAATAATAATATATCCGTCTTAACAGTAGCAGCTATGCTTTCAGTAACGTTATCTGCTCTGCTCTCGGCCACAGACACGGCTGGGTCAACATGGCAGCAGCAGAATGCACCATTAACACCAAGCCACTATAATAAACTCACATAAGATATGTATTATTATGAATTCTCTACACTCCATATGATAACATTAATACTAATATTGATAAATTGGTACCTCCATGCTGCAGCTTTTGCGCCCCCTCGGTCTCTGCACGCCACGCGGAGTAAAGCGCTGGTGTAATGACACACTTCGGCCATTGGAGGCGCTGTCGGACACTCAGTAGCGGTTAATAATCAA